GAAGGAGAGGCCAGGGTGGGGCGGCGGCGCGGGGAGGGGCTCGCCGCGGGGCAGCGCTGGCCTGCACATCACTGCGAATAGGAGAGCACCTGTCTCAGTGTTGTCCTGTTGTTGTTTAGGTACAGGTTGGCGCCCTCTCGGTCAGCCCGCCACTGCCAGCGCACGCTCCCCAAGCCGCAGCCGGAGCCGCAGCCAAGAACCGCGCTCTTCTCCACCATGACCGGTGAGTTTCTGCAGTGGGGGCACCAGACCAGCCACAGCACCAACTCCCGCTCCTGTGCTCCGCAACCCCTGTCCCGCATGCCATCCCTTCGGTCGTTGCTCGACCAAGGGTTTGTGAAGTTGAAACGGCCACTTTTTGATTGAAAAATCAAGAAAAAGAAAACGCCCGAAAACTTAGGTAGTTAGTGCACTTACGCTGCATGCCGGGAGAGATAAGTGACCAAGACATGCAAGCGAGCCAGGGGCGGATTAAGGTCCGGCTGACAGGAGGGCGATGCACTGTCGGTTGCCTACAGACAGGGTTTTTGTGGCGCAAATTGCCTACCTTTTAGGCGGCCCCTAGAGACGACAGGGGGCAATTCCCCACCCCTTAATCCGCGCCTGAAGCGAGCATGGCTCCGAGTCCAAAATCGACTGGTCGCTCTTCTTTGTTTCTGCTGCCCAAAGCGGCAAGGCGGCGGGTGATTTGAACGCATGGCGCATGGGCCGGCCGGGTACTGCTCGGGTGGTCGTGACCCCAGTGCAGTGCACACGGCGTGCCCAACTCCAAGGTCTAGTTATGGGCCACCTTGGTCCTCGATGTACGATTATTTTATAAATTCGCCGGAACAAAAACTTATTTACCATAAAAATTAAATCCATAAATATCATGTCTACTGTGTTGTTTAGTTGACCTTTTTATTCTTCTGTGCACGGCTGATTTTTTGGAGATTGTTTAAAATGTGTGCCAAGCTTTCTGACCACCAACCACCCACCGCACCAAGGGGGCATTAACTCCGAGATCAAGTGTATACACATGATTCATGATTGATCATGGTGGAATCCATGATTCCTGTTGATTCCCATTGATTCCCGTCGTGATTCTCATTGATTTCCGTTGGTTTCCGTCATGGTTCACATTGATTCCCGGTGATTCTCGGGCCGGTGTTTACACATGATTCCCAGAGTTATTTCCCCCTCGCACCGCACATACTTGCAACACAGTAGTCGTACTTTAATGATTCGCCCTCCATTTCGATTGTTCCTATGCTGGATTAATTGATGGTGAAAAAACAGCGTGTCCCTGTGTTTATGGCTGTTTGTGGTGGCTTTACAATGTTATCCCCGGGGCTCGAGTGGCCGATGGGTCGCTGCCGGTGGGTAGCTCGCTTTATCTTTACGGTCGCTTCGAGTCGAGTCCGGCGGTCAGACTGACTGAGGGACAACAGAGACTCCCTCGAGCACTCACACCGCACCTCACGCACGCCCAGCCCAGTCGTCTCGTTCAAAATGACAATGAGTGCGATACGCACTGTCGATCTGCGCGTGTAGCCACCCAGCGCGCAAGCGCGGACTCACTTTGGCAGAGGCTTTTGAGAGAGTTTTGGCGACAACGGGTCGCTCCGCGAGTCCGCGAGAGTCATCGGACCGCTGCTTCCTCTTTATAACGGCACTGATCTCAAGTCAGGTCATTATTTGCTTCCGGACCTACGCGGGGCCACGCGTCCCTGACGCGTCCGGTGTAGGCCGGACTCACAGACGGATAAACAAACTAACGACGTAAAATTTTTACGATTGTGGAAATTTATCTGGCCGGCGGTGACACGCGCTGCGAGGTGTCTGCCGCGGCCAAGACAAGACAGTTTTCCTAAAAATCTTGTCCAATCAGAATGAGTGTAGAGGTCAATGATAGTCTCCGTTTTACGCAGCCGCGCAGCCGCGCGGCGAGGGGTGGGTGGAGAAGGGCCGGGTAGGCAGCCCGCCCGCACGGCTGCGGAGCGCGTGGCCCACCCGGCCCGTGCGGGGGGCTCCAGCCTCGGCGCCAGCCGAGCAGCTCCAGCCGCTCCCGAGCGCGACGCTCGGCGCGACGCGATGAGGCAACGCGACAAGTTTACCGTGCACGCTTCAGGGTAAAACAGTATCGGAGCTGAGTTACGCGTCGCAAAAAAAAAAAAGGTTTATTTTTATATTTCTTTTGTAAAAAGCATTCTGCAATTTACAAAAGATACTGTTTCACACGGATAAACCTGCAGCATATAATTATACGATTCGCTTTGAAACACACGCATAACGTGCCTTTATGTCACACTTTTTAAGCGCGTAGCCAATCGCTCTTCTAGGCGTAGCTCTCTACTGAAATAAAAACGTTAGTATGATTGGAAGAACAGTTCAACCAAAATGAATCAAAAATAAAGCTATGAGGCAGAGGACGAAAAAGAATTAAAAAAAGAGATGGCTTCATATTTTAGAAATCTAGTTTTTGATACCTTTTACTAATTTTTTGCGATTACTTGTGTTTTGTGATTCCCCATGAGAAAGAGCAATAAGATGATTTTTTATTGAAACTGAATTGCGTTAAAGTAGAGGGCGAAAAACATTTCAAAAATAATGCAATATCTTTTTACCACAAACATTTGACCGCATTTGACATAACATACGTTCATAACTACAGCATAACAAAAAATTGAAATGGGAAATACTTGGTTACAAGTGTCGCAAAACCAGCCTCGCGGTGTCCCTCGCGCCTGCCCGCTCTGGAAACCCAAGTGTGTACTTGAATGCAGTATCTCCTGCATACCTACATGTATG